TGGCGCCGGGGGGGGAGCGGGCGAGCCACGGGTCAGGGGGGGGCTGGAGCAGGGCTTCCAACACGGCCCTAAAGCCTCGCGTGCCCCCGAGCAAGCCGAGCTCCGGCGCGCTTGGTCCCCTTCGACGGCGAAAGCGAAAACCTCACTGGGAAATTGTTGAGTCCTGAGGATCGCTAAGTCCCCGAATCTCAGCCTCTTGGCACTCACTACATCAGCCCAATCGACTTGACGAGGGCCGTCCCAGGGGAAACCTGTTCAGCGCCGGCCTGCCGGACCCTGTAAGAAAGAGAAGCCTTGAGCGCGTCGAGTTCGACGGCTCAACTTCTCTCAGCTTCAGGGGTTTTCTCCCAGGGACGACCACCGAGCTGAGTAACTGCTCCATGAATGAATCAAAAGATCTACCTATACAACACCAAATAATTGCAATGGCAGAGCCAGCGACTACAAAATTGCATTTTCAGCAGCTGTTTCTATTCTTTGGCCACACGCTCGCTTCCTTAGAGGCAGTGTTGGTAAGATGGAGTGCTTGCATTCAAGAACCAGCGAGGGTTTTTTTAAAGCAACTGGAATTCTGATTGCCCCGGATCATGGGATTTGTCCTCAGAGCAAAAAAAGCTCCTTTACAAATGCTTGCGGGAGCAAGCCCTTAAATACCTTTTTGCAGGGCATGTAATAAACAGAAGATTACTTCACAGAATACTCAAAGTTACAGAGTCTGTTCAACTTTTTTCTCACTCTTCCTAAAAAGCAAGACCTTTCCTAAATACAAAACAAACAAAACCAAACCAACCAAGCAAAAAACTTCAAATCCTTTGTGGTAAGAAGCAGCAGGCACTCTTACACATTGCTCATCAAAAAACGGTGGGTTCCAGTTTTCCTGGAGTTGTAGTCTCTACAATATATCGTCAGCATAAGCCGTATTAAATTGTCACTTAGATGCAATTTAACCACTTTTGACTTTGAGGTTTCTAATGCAGGGAGAGGGCCTAGAGTCCAATCTGTCGATCGGCTGCGTTCTGACACACAGATGAGAAGGCTCTTTAAAAAGGTGAAGTGCCAAAAGGTATTGAGCAAGACAGAGCTTCGGCAGCGCCCAGCTGAGAACTCACAGAAGTCGCCTGGCAGCTTCTTCTGCTTCACGACAACGACGCTATCTTTCAGGGGAGGCCTTGCAGAGAAATACAGTCAGTTTGCAAAGCAACGTCATTACTCTCAAAAGTATCGCTGTGCTGGCATGCTGCCTTTGGGGATCGTTATGTATGGGACCCGTACTGGCATTTTAAAATACAACTTACAGGGGTATGCTACCTGTTGCTTCCTGTTCACAGCACGTGATACTTTAAAGTAAAGGTGCTTTTACATGTGACTGAGTCCGTATTTCAGCAAAGGCACTTCACTGCTAGCATTGCTACGGCATTTTATGGATGCCAATTTCAATGCACAAATATGCTGGCGCATCGTGAAAATGTTGAATCTGGGTGTCAAAGCTCGTATATCCTTCTGGCCTGTATTTCCCAGTTCCTATAGCCACTGTTTAGTCTTGGTTGTCAAAGGCATTCAGCATTGATTCGATTTGTTTTAATCGGACTTCCAGGAGACAATCATCATGTATTAATGCTTAGATAAAAGAAAAATATGTATTATTAGATTTAACTGTGTGACAGGAGCATTCAAAAATTCGTGATCCTATCAGAAAAAAAAAGTACTTAAAAGGAATTTTGTTTAAAAATTCCAACTGAAGCACACAAAATCAGCCATGCCTGATCACCAGTGACTTGCAACAGTAATGCAGAGAAAGGAGAGACACTTTTTAACATAAAAATGAACATGCACAAACATTTTCTAAACAGCCAAAATACAGGCTATTCTAACCTGGATTAGTCTATACTAATCTAAGCTGGATAGCCAAATGGAGCAAACCCATGGTGGAACTGACACCGTTCTTTAATTTTCTTTGATAACTTTCCCAAGTTATCACCTTTACCTCCATACTGGCTTGAATGTTTTCTATTTCCCTTCGCCCATACCACTCTACCAGAATTTGTCTGTAGCATTCTTTGCATTAGCTCAGTGGGAGAGAAATGTCAACTCGATATTGAAAATATCACTTTCTATACCTCAACAACCATTCTAGCAACCTCCAGTCAAACACACACCCACGCTCTGTGCTAAGAGAGCAGGATAACTGCAGCTGCCCACAGCCACCATAGCTTTCTTAGCTGAAGAAAATCTGAGAGCTACACAAAATCAATCCATCTGGTACTGCAAGAGTCTGCAGACAAGTCAACTGCATCCCATGGGTCATGACATTGAAGAAACCTAACGGATCTACTAGTACATTTATGGGTGCTTGACTTTTAGCCACTGATGAGATTTTTTGAGCACTATTATCAATGCCCTTTCCACACCAAAACTGAATCTCTAACAGATAAATAATTATGATTAGGGACAACTAAATGTTGTAAAAGTTACCTACCATAATGTATTGCATCTTCTTGATCAAAACACAAAAGCTAGGTGGTAGGCAGCAGCTGGCCAGATCATGATCAAGTGATTCTTTCCAAGAAAGTACAAAACTGTGTCCCTCAAAGAGAACAGGAAATTATTCTTAGGACTTCCTCTTTGGAGGAAAGGTTACTTTGGACCCTTCAGAGAGAATGCATTCAATCTTTCACTGAAAACCCTCATGAAACAGCTCAATAGGATATTGAATACGAAATGAATGTTTGGCATGAGGATTCCACAACTTTTCAGACTTCAGTTCAATCCAGATGAGCTATATACATAAAAGAAGACATGCTCTTCCTGTTGGTAGGATTTGTGGAGACCGACCATGTTTGGCCACACGGCAAACTAACAAGGCTATTTAAAACTTCCTCGTCTGGAATCAGTGGAGGTGAAGAGACATTCCTTCATTTCATGCTGAACTGTGGCATAAAACCTTGAAAAAATATTTACACTCCAACTTCTCAGTTTTACACCCAAACCACTCACTCTTCATACTCTATTCAGTGTCTTGGTCATTGCATTGTCCAAGGTTATCCATTATTCAGACTGGGAAGCAAAAGGGGCAAAAATCTTTAAAAACTTACTAGGCTAGAAGGGTTCTCAAGAGACTGATCCATTGGGAAAAAAATACCTTTTCCTTTAGCCACTGCTGGTCAAACTTTACATGTATTAAGTTCTGAGGACAGACCATCAAAACTGGACCTTCATGGCATCAGGGAAAGCACAGGGCAAAGCACAGGAGGAGAGAGCCACTGCATGACATGAGGGTAATTTCCAACTGATTTCAGTCCACGTAAACACAATGGAGCATCACCGACTATACGGGTGAGCTGATCTCAACTCAATGGATACCTGGGATAAATAACGTTGGGAAACTCTACATTGACAGGGGGATTCAGCATCTGTGTACAGCTGAAAACATGCTATCTGCAAGCCTCCAAAACCTTGGGACTGAGGAACACAGTCAGCATACTTTGAAGTGACAGCGAACCGTTTGTTCACTGATAACTGCCTCCAAGCTAGTAATTTCCAAGGCTCACTTAGAGGGTACATCTTAAAGACTATATGCTATCTTATCTTCTAAGAGATATGGTGGGTACACACATAGTTCTGCCCTAAGTTTTGCATCTCTCGCCACATTTTAACTTTTATTTAAGGGGAGATACAGCTATGGAGCAAAGGGGCACCTTCTGCATGGTCCTGGGCTGCCAGCGTCCCTTAGGCAAGCTGACCTTAAATGGCTGCTTTTCACACGTAACTCAGTGAAAAGAGATGCACTGAATTTAGTATAACGACAGTCAGAAATGACAACTGGGATTTAGAGATGTACAAAGGCGTGTAGGAATTAGGCTGCTGTCAGTAGGATTGTGCAAATGCAGGACATTATGAGGAAAAAAGTATAATTTGCACCAGTGAGGCCCTTGACTGGTGCATGATACATTTTTAAGCCTGATAAAAATTAATAGGCTGATGCAGTCAAAGATCAGTATATACCTAGTACAGATACAATTTTTTCTGTCTTGAAAATAGGCAGGGCCAGAAATTGTATATGTTTTTATATACATATATATATATATATATACACACACACACATAATAGGCTGCTAGCTCTCGGAGCAGTGCACTAAGGGATATTGTCTCACAGCCTGATGTGTGCAAGGCTTTGTGAAGCCATTAGGACCACCAAATAACTCTCTTTTTCTCTCTGGGGAGATGAAAATAAAGAGACTGAACAATTAGGGAGGGAGAGAACTTTGCTTCCAAAGTCACCCTTTGCGACAATCAACCAGTCTTCTTCCTCGGCCATTTTCTACAAACCAAAGGAACAATTGGAGAATGTTGGAAAGCTCAGCTGAGCATGGCCACAGCCTGATATTGCATCTTCAGAGTGTCGCAGGGTCATCACAATTCAACAGCTGAACGCAAATGTTTCTACAAAAGCTGGAGACCGTGTGATGTTTCATTGCTGGCTGCGTTTGAAGTCTTTTGCTAGCTGTGTCTCTCCTCCCCTTTCTCAAGCAGAGGACCGCAGCTTCATGCTACCTGAGCATGTTCAGCATCAGTTCTTTTTGGCCTACCTCTAATAGCTTTCTGAAGAAGCTCAAGGTGTGGTCTAAAACCGATGCACTTTAAATTGGTTAACTGGGATTGGGAGTATTTACACTAGATTGGCAACTCTTCTCAAAAAGGCACCATCTTTCAGATGACTTTGTACTAAGGTATCACATTTGCACCTCAGGCCTAAACCTACATTGAGAGAACGACTCTGCTCGTCCTCTTGCTAGAATACCCAAGGATATACCAAGAAGAAGGGGACACTTGACATTATCTAACAAACAGTCGTGTTTTTTCATTGAACCAAGTTCCTGGAATCACAATACATAATTGGAAGTCATTTGAAGATTTATAATATTCTTAGCAATATTTTAGCTGAACTGCTCTCCTGGAAAACCAAAATTACGAGTTCAAGAGTTTCAGAAAGATTTAGGCATTTTAGGCACTCAACTTCAGATCCTTGTTTTTCAAGAAGTGCTGAGTTTTCCTCACCCTCACGTCCATTCCTTATTCTTTAGCCCACCCTCTCCGCCAGAGAGCCCTGTGCTTTCAGAGGGTCATTTCTTTAAGTCTATATTTTTTGCCACAAACTAATCAATGTATCTTTAAAAGCAAGGCCCTCTCCTCACAGTAAATGAGGGAGATAGATAAAGCTGATAATGAAGCAGCTGGTAAAGCTGATACTCTGAGCTCATAGAATCAGACTGAGATAGGGCTGCTGATTTTATTCATTTGCAGAAAAGAAAGTCTCTGGGGCTGAAATCCTGGCTCTGCCAAAGTTGGGGAAATTTTACAATTCACTGGGTCTGGTTTCCATCACTGCATTGCTTTTTTATTCCTTTTCTTTTTCTACTTCTCAATTCTCCATTCAGCTGTGAGCCTTTTACCCAGTGGGAAAATGCTCCGTAGTGAGCAGGATATGAAAGCGAGAGCTGCTATTCAGCCTGAATGCTTGCAGTCGTCTCCAGAACACGGCATGTTTACTCACTCTTTCAATAACACTTGAGGAATAAATATCCACTCATTTAACTAGCTGCTCACCTGCTCTTGCTCCTGGGGCTGGGAACAGTTTGATAAGACTGAATGTACATTGAAATAACAAACCTAATAACTGTGGAGGAATTATTTAGGCAGCTGAGATCCACCAGGAAAATCTAAAGGTGGGGTAAGGGACTGGTAAAATCCTGTGTTCCTCTAGGATGTTTGAGAATCCTTCAAGGTATTCACACTTACACCTGGTTTTGTACAGTTTTTCTATGCAAACATATCTTAAAAAAAAAAAAAATTAAATTCCACAGTAGTTGTAGTTTATTCTGTCCTGGAGCACTCAGGAGAAGCTCATGGTGATGACAGCCAGTGTATCAATTATCCTGCAAAAGCAACTTGGTCACCCAAAGGTAAACATTCACCAGTTGCACAAACACAGATAAACTTTGGGGGTCAGCAGCAGTTGACAGCTAATGAACCCCTCTGAGGATTTGTGCAGCAACAAACACGCAACCTGGATTTTTAGAAAGTGGAACTCGCCTAATTGAGTCCATCTTTGTATAGTTTTAAAGCAATCAAAAATATACAAAACCCCTTAACACATAAAACAAGGCCTCTAGGGTGAGTCCATTGATTTCAAGGACGTTACCTCAGGGATTAATGTGTTTATTTTGGTTTAAAAGCAAGATGTTCCTCCTTTCCCCACCCTCCCCTTAACACTGCACAAAGCCCTGCAAGGTAAGTATGTTGTCAGCTAAACACCAGATTCCCACCTTCCCAGCTATGTATGTGTTGGAACCTGGAATAATTACTGTGATAACATTTCTTTTTCTCCTTTAAGGCAATTCAGCTTCATCCTTTCTTTCTCTTGTTATCTTTCAGAGCATGCTCCTAGAACTATCATCTATCATGAAAAAGTAATGACATTCCGAGGAGAAGAAATAAACTAAGGGATTGAGCACAGAGAGATAAAGAGCAGAAAGATAAAAAGCAGAGTATCTGTTGCTATGCTCCCTTCTCCCACTGCTATAATGCTAAATTCATGCTTTAAGAAAGCAAATACTTGTTTTGTTCCTCCATTTTACACCGATCCCGATGGTACCCTACTCTGATTGCTGGAATTAACGGGTAGTTTGCTCCACAACTCAAGATTTTTCTCACGTGGACTGAGATGGATCCGGTCAGTGTGTGCTGCCACTGCAGAAATCGCCCTGTGTCTTTGGGAGAACATTTTGGGATGTACAAGTTGTTGTGCATGCTAGTAGTGTTCATATCAGAAACCAGCCTGATGCATAGACCTTCAAGGTAGTGGAAGGCCGAAGACACCTACAAGAAAGGCTTAGTTTGATTTGAAAGTAACTTGGAAGGCTATGTGGCCTCTATCTCCCCAGGCTTCAGCAGCCAATGAATAAAAGATGGAAGCAACACACAAAGAATCTGAAAGGACAGAGAATTTAACAGAGAGAAAAACCCAGCTGAAGAATATGCTGCTGCTCATCTGCCTGTGCTAATGCAGTCCTCAAGCTCTGATAAGAGACTTGCCATGCTAATGTAGCCTCCTTGTACTTTTGGCTTCAATTTCAAAACTAAGTAAAAGCGGACAATTTATTTTAAGTGCAAAACATCTATGCTTTTCTTCAGTTTGCTGTTCAAGAAGATCTGCAAGGTATCACCTCAGGGTCATGAAAATCTTACTCCCTTCACTGTCTCATTACTTCATATAGAGGAATTGGAGGACAAGCAAAGCCCAAAAGAGCTCTTTTTCAGTTTGCTAGGACAGACTTGCTCTGGAGGGTTGGATTTCTGGATTGTACGTGGCCCAAGAAAGCAGTCCTTCCACTTGTGTATCTGGAAAATAAAGCACCTTCCTCTGACTGGCCCTGACCCTGTTTCTGGCCACGTGCTTTTGGCTGCTTTTGTCAAGCTTATCATAGCTCGCATTTGCTATCGCCTCAACGGCAAGCGCTGCTTGGAACAAGCTCGTTTGCTATGCCAGTTTCCCTAAGCATAGAAATCATCTATGATTTGACAACTCTAAGGCAAGGCTAGGAGAAAGCAGGACAGCAGGGAAAAAAAAAACCAAAAGAGTCAAGCATAAAGATTGCTTGAGCTGACAGTGGTTTTGCTCTGGTGCATGTGATTTACATTCATATTTGGTCTCACTACAAACTCATGACAGTTTGCCTGTGCATTGGTTTAGTATTTTAAGGCAAAAAAAGGAAGTACTTAAGATGGTGGCCATTAAGTGCCAGCAACAACTCATCAGGAGTGGAGAAACAGCTTTGCTAAAGTACATGCTCTACTGCCAGGCTATGTGTAGATGGTGGTGGATGCTACATCTTCTGACAGATTTGAGGGGGTGGGAAG